AAAAACATAGACAAAATCAAATTACAAACTAAAATTAGTTGACATAAGAATCCTGATTTCTAAAACTTGAAACTTTAATAATTACAGCCGATGAACGTTCTTAACCAGCTTTGAGAGCTCTGAAATCGTTCGGCATTGAGATTAGTGCTCGGCTTGCTCGGAGATCACGTGATTCAAGCTCGACATCTGCTCGCTCGCATCTCAGATTTTTTTGCCGAACGCAGCTATTGTAGACGACGCTTTAAGCCAACGGCACACGATACTATTTTTCCTACTGGATCGCTTACGAGAGCCAATCAGGATTCAGCCTTGCGTCACCTGATCGAAAACTCTGCATCCTGATTGGCTCTCGTAAGCGATCCAGTAGGAAAAATAGTATCGTGTGCCGTTGGCTTAAAGCCTGCCACAGACTACACGCAGCAAGCAGCAAGCGTCGAGCAGCAGCCAATCAACGAAGAGATATTTTCTACGCCACTGCTGACGCTTCCGCAAAATTCAGCAGTGTTGGATCCTCGCTGCTCGACGTTTGCCGCTTGCTGCGTGTAGTCTGTGGCAGGCTTAAAGGTGCCTTTTCATACGCAGCATGCAGCAGCAGCAAATAAAGCCCGCTGCAGACGATGCTATTTTTCCTGCTGGATTGCTTGCAATTTAGTAAATTACTAGGAATCCTGAATGCTGAGTGGTGCAATGATAGTAATTTACTAAATCGCAAGCAATCCAGCAGGAAAAATAGCATCGTCTGCAGCGGGCTTTAGTCACGTGATCCAAATTCACTAAAGCATATTTGCTGCTCATGGAAAAGGAATAGCTGCAGCAGCACTGTCCGGCTAGATCGCGTGTCTGCTGCTTTGCTGTTCGTTCAATTGAACTTCACAGCGATGAAGCAAAATATGGTGAAATTTATTTTGCAGCATCTAGTAACAATTCTTCAACCAATAGCAGCGAGTTGCTGCGGCAGTATGCTGCGCATGAAATGGTACCTTAAGCCTGCTACAGACTGCACGCAGCAAGCGGCAAGCGTCGAGCAGCGAGGATCCAACACTGCTGAATTTTGCGGAAGCGTCAGCAGTGGCGTAGAAAATATCTCTTCGTTGATTGGCTGCTGCTCGACGCTTGCTGCTTGCTGCGTGCAGTCTGTAGCAGGCTTTAGGCTTCGGCGTCAGCATGAAAAGGCACCTTAATGCCTCGACGTTCTCATGTAAATAGCACCTTAAAAGCATCTTGATGATGGGAGTGGGATCAATGGGTTATGGTGCGATTTGCGAAGAGCGGCGGTAGAGATTTTCGCTTGTCTCTGACACTTACCTAACCTCTTCGCTGCTCGCGCGGATGTCCCGGTATCCCTGGCGCCGCGCAACGAGTGTAACAATTGTTTACCGGTGATTTAATCGCGCGCGAACAATAATATGATGTCGCGGTCAGTGCGCGCGGAGACTCGCAGTCGTGCCAAGGATGACATTAAACGTGTGATGCAGGTAGTTGATAAAGTTCGCCATTGGTAAGTTCCCTGTGTCGTGTCGGAGGGATGAGGAAGAGGAATTGCCGGGTCCCGTGTTTGTTGTCCTTTCTCGCTTATTTCCTGGAGGACGATCACGGATCGTGCAAAAAAGTGTAACAAGTGCTTTTGTCTCGTTTAATTGCCGAAGGGCGTGCACCCAAAGGTACTAACGACAGACCGCGAGACGGTTGCTAATGTTCCAAGTTGAAAGATCCTTTTTCCAAGTACGAAAGTAACGTGGAGACCGCTCGACAGCAGCTAATTCTAATCGGCTGAGAGCAAGCGTTTGAACGGGAATATCGTCGGCTCGGTTGCCGATTCCGTAGCTGAGCTTTGAATTGTCATAAATTTTCTCGCGGCAACGAGAACAAATATATAACAATAGTCTTACTCAGAAAAACAAGACGTTTCTTTCATCTTTTAATGTAAAACAGATGTTTTTGCCTTTTGTTGAAATCGTTATTTATATGAAAGTTCATAAGTAACGGAATTCTAAGTGTGTGCATATATGTATATATGTTTGTAGGGAAAAGAAATGGGTCACAATAGGAGAAACAACTATGAAAATATACAAATGGGTTCCAATCTCGACGCTCGATCAGGTATTTCACGCGTAATTCACGCTGATTAAGATTCAACCGGGGCGGATAATTGCGTAAGTTTTGCATAAATATTTTATACATTTATAGAAGAAGAAAGGAAAGACGGTCTCCGACAAGGAAAACGGTTTGCCGAGAAAAGGGGGAATAGACTCGTCAAATTCTAACTTTGGACTTACGGAAGATTCCAATACATGTGAGTTTGACTTTGGAATTCGGCGAAGGCGTCACCGCTGCTGATTAACGCAATACGCACCTTTCTGACACGCTGACAGGTTTCTCCACCGTTAGCGATTCGCAAGGACTGACAGATTTTTCCGCGCACTTGGGCTTCTCGGAGGACTCCAATTCGCAAAACAGCGAAACTACGTCTAAGAGATTAAAGTCTGACTAATGTTCGACCTACAAATCAGCATCATCGCCAACATCGTATAGGGATTGACACATTTAGGAATCGTTATCTCTTTCGTGAAATCCACTTGATAATTTACATTAAGTCATACCTTTCGATAACGGATGAAGTAAGTTAATTTCTGTTTCATCCAAATTTAGTGAGATATAGATAATATATGTATAAATATGCTTATATAATTATATATAGTATCGATCTTAGGAAACGTTTTGAATTACGTAATAACGGAGTTTATTTTTTTACATATGAATTTATTACGAATTTTCCAATTGAATTTATAGAAACAATGGTCAGCTTAGCTAGAATAAAATCAGGCGAGTGATCAATCCGTTACATATTCTTTTTACACATTTTTTAAGTCTTGAATCAGTCACTTGTGAAAGAGTTGTAGGATAAACTCTGAAATCGAACTTGGGGTCTGTTGTCTAATTGTAAGAATCAATCGTTCCCATGCAGATCTACGCGTCACCCAAGTTTAATCTGTTTATTAATTTCTGGTTTCCATATAATCTTTGCGGAAGTAGTGCTTAGTTCTGTATAGGAAATTGATTTGTCGGTAGGACCCAAATTCGATTTCATTTTATATGTTTTGGATTATAAAAAGTTGATTAAAAGATTAAAAGTATAATAAATGATACAATGATTAAATGACTCTCGATAATGGAAGTACAATATTCAACAAGGTTGGGCGGTGAAATATTACATGGATATTGCTGCATCGCATGCAATACTGTTTAATAAATATTCAAATACATGTTCCTCAGTTTAAATTCAAGCGAATCTTCTTGAGATCTGTCTCATTTCCACTAAGGACCGATTTTACCAAGAGGCTGGAACCACCAACCGTAAAAGTTTGTTACTTAAAGATTGGTGGATCAAAAAACCTGAATTGGTATAAGCATTTTTGGCATGGTGTGAGACCGAAGGATAAATATGGAATTAGAATAAATGATAACCTTTGTTGTAAAAGATTTTAAGTACACTCGTAGGTCAACGAGACATGACAAGGAAAGTTGCAGTTGTCGAAGACATGGATAGTCGAATTATAAGAAAAAAAGTAACGTATCTGAATAATGCGACTCCAAGTGTTAACTGGGGTACGAAAATGTTTTCAAGATGACACCGGAGTCGGTCGAAAATCAGAAACAAAAACGTCCGAGGAAATGTCCGAGGAACATGTATTTGAATGTTTATTAAACAACCCTCCGTGTAATGAAACAAAGTACGCGTTATAATCTCCAATACTGTCCAATCTTACTGAATATCATAAAGAAATTGTTGAGTGAAAAAGTATGAGATGATTAACTTTATTGTTTCGAGAACAATGAAATAACACGAGGTCTGTCCGGAAAATATCCGACCTTGTGCTCTAACCTTGTACCTGGGTGTGCTAGGGTTAAAAATAGCTATTCGTTATTTAGGGGGGACCTTTATGAGTGCCCCTGCCAGGCAGCACGGTCCTTCGAGTCTTCAGTCGACAACGGTACGCTGTTTAGTAAACATTGAATTTTGTGCGCGTTGCATTTCACGATGACTGAACGCATCGAACAAAGATGTGTCCATTAAATTTTGCCAAAAACTTGGTCATTCGTGTTCGGTAACCATCCACATGATTCGTAAAGTATATGGCGATGAATCCATGAGTGATACACAGATTAAAGAATGGGTTAAGCGATTTAAAAGCGGTCGTGCATCAGTTGAAAGCGACCCTCGTTCTGGCAGGTCGGTAACGGCTAAAATTTCTGAAAATGTGGACCGAGTTCGAGTTTTAGTCGATCAAAATCGTCGTTTGACTGTTCAAGATTTAGAAGAAGACATCGGAATTCCAAAAACTGTTGTTTCGGAAATTTTTAGTTAAGATTTGTGGAAAAGTAGCGACTGGGTGCTGCACCACGATAACGCACCTGCCCACACATCGCAACTTATCCAGCAATTTCTTGTGAAACACGGCATTGTTCAGCTTCGTCAGCCCCCATACAGTCCTGACCTGGCTCCCTGCGACTTCTGGCTGTTCCCCAAATTGAAAAAACTCCTCTTTAGGGAAGAAGATTCGATCAGATTTAGCTCTTTCTCTTGCTGCAGCACAAGGTTGGATACTTTCCGGACAGACCTCGTACATGCAATATACGTTATATATAACCCTTTCAACATTCGGGGGTATGATAGTAAATGACTTCAAAGAGGTTGCAAAGGGCTTGATAATAGAAGCGGATTGTACATTCGCAGCGATTGCGTAGTAACATTATATTATTTTCTTTCGAAACTATGTTTTTCTCGCTATAACGACATATTACTGTATCAAGAATTATCCTTACAAAATACTCGAATGGATTAGTTTTGCAATAAGTTAAATGGTGAAGAAACACATACATACGTATACGCATATGTTACCTTCAAACGCAGTTCACGTTTCTGATAGTCCATAAAAATCATTGTATATATTTCAAATACCATTTCTTTTTCACCTATTGATACTATAGGAGAACTTGCATTCCTGTGCGTTACGTTATAGCACCGTGACATGTACAAAATAAGCTTGGACTCGTACGAATAAAATAGTTGAATGACCTCTTGATCAGTGCATACTATACATTGCTTATGAAAACACACACATACATTAATACATTTGTAGTATGTTTGTATAAAGATATAAAAGTTAGTAAGAAAATCTTCAGATACAAAGATATTCTCACTAATTGTTATAGCGAGTATTTCAAAATGTAAGAAAGTGCGTGTGATTTTTGTGGAAATGTCTAATTTGTAATGGAGAACTTCCACCCTGTGAAATTGTGTTTTAATGAAATTAACTGACAATTTTATCACAAAAGTCGCATAAAATTGGAATATTTGTTTTAGATTTTTTAAAGTAAAAATCTATGTATATTTATAGTTTTTTTTACAAAAACGATGTATATTTAATATTGATTTAAAGTATTTAAAAATTCGTATATACACACGTATATATATATAACACTATGTATAAAAAATTTCTTTTGATTAAATAGTTTACTTGACCACTATTACCAGGGCAGTATTTTACCATCGTACTGCACGAAACAGCCGGTTTCTTTTTCCGTCAACGAGTTTAAGGTATTCAGAATGCACCTGACGCTGGTGTCGACGTCCATCGGAGCGTTGCTGCCGCCCAAATCAGTGCGCACCCACCCAGGGTGCAAACACGCTACCAAAATCCCATCTGCTCGCAGATCGACGCTCATCGATTTTGTCGCCGCGTTAAGCGCCGCCTGTTTTGCAAGTGAGATTAGATAAGATATTTCGCAAAGTTATTTCAAGTGTTTGAGGATACATATTCATTAATTCCAGAGAGTGTAGTTTTCTCTAAATCTTTACAAGTGAAAAAATTTCAGGTAGTAACAGCGCTTCATAAATTTTGTAGGCGCAATTATGCAACGAGATGCACATGTATCCTGAACTCGAGGTTCTACCTTGCTGCATCTGTAAGGATAAAAACCGCCGTCGCTATTTTCAGCAATGCTGCCCAGGACAGACGTCATATTGATAACCGCTGCTCTTCGTACGCTCAATCCCGTTTTATCCTCGGAACTTTTTGCAGCCGTCTTCAGCAGCGGCAGGAAGGCCTTGAATCAATTATTCCCTCAGTTACGAACCGACGCTACTCGTCAATGTAAAACTCATAAATGCAAAATGGCTGTAGGCGTACTTTTGTCAGCATAATCGGTGTCACGGTATTTACGAGAAAAGCGTCTGTAATCTGCTGCTTCTTCACCAGGCCAAGACGCGTAAATTTGCTGGAAATACCAGCATTGTTGAACAGAACGTTGAGACCAGCGCCATTTACCCTTTTGCTGACCGTGTCCACGATTCTCTCGTAGCTATCCGTATCCGTTAAATCTGGAAAAAGGCAGTATAAAGTTTCGCGAACGATATTAGAACCTGCTACACGTATGTTTTTGTGAGAAGTAGGTTCAAGTTTTGTTCCACTTTCCACGGTAGTTTCTGATAAATTTTTTTGTATTACGCACCAGCATTTGTCAGAGCATAACGTAGAGGAAAGTCTCCTATTATGAGGAAGGATCGTAATATGAGATAGCGGAGTTTCTGCTAAATTAATAGGCATCGTCTGTTGATTCCACCATGACTTTATTGCCCTTGGAGTGAAGTCTGCTTAGTGGAAAATTGATCGTTAGATCGTGTAATCGTTGCAAAAAAAGATTTGCCGTTGAATTTGGACGTTGAAGATCTACTATCTCACATTAGAATCCTATCTCAATAGAGGACATTCCTCTATCAATGAAGATATGACATAATAGTGTGACACAGCACTTTTTATGTCTTTGTTTTGTCTTAAATCGTTTGTAATGAGATTAAAGAAATTTCATGACTATTTCGATTTTACGTTCTAAGGTTAAATACATATAGTTTGCAATTTCCCAGGTAAACCATTCACGTTTAATAAATGTTTAATAAATGTCTTAGCCGATATGTTTTCATGGCGTATAAAACGTATTAAACCGTCGAAACGTCTCGTATTAAACTAGTAAAAAGAAACTGAAATAAACGTTATAAAACATTTTATAAATGTCTATTTGAAGATGTTAAATTTTAAACGTTCATTTTTTTCAACTTACACATTTAAAATGAAGTTTTAACGCTTATTGAACGTACTTTGAACACAGCTGTGTTGCTTGGGTTATTTTGAAAAAATGAGAAAACAAATAGCGTTAAGAATTTGACATATTAAAATTCATAATTTGAAGACTTTCGGAAAAATTAATCGTGCCACAGGAACTTTAAATTAATATACTTTACAGATTTATTTCGATGGATGTGACGATTCTTTAAAAAGAGATAGAAGACAATTGCAACCAAGTTATCTATGATGTTTATTGCACTTTAATATAGATAGAGAAAGAAACACAAAAACAAGTTTGCGGAGTATCCGCGATATTTTTAAAGATTCCCAGATTGCCGAGGTGCTAGTCACGTCGCGAGAATTGTTCACTTTGGCGCAGTGCTAACTGTAAAAGTTTTTTGGCTGTTTTTATATTTATTAAAAAGTACAGAGAATATATGCGATTTATTGCTATTTTGAAATTTAGATTGACGAATTGTTGCAGACATGGCGTAGAAATATCTCTGTACGTTTGCGCGTGAATTCAACTTTCTAAATAATGCGACGATTTTCATTATCATCGCATTCTTCATTATCGCATTTTAACGAATCGCCGCGTATCGAGCGCCGATAAAGAATGAAAATTGACTTGTTTATCGCGCAAGAAGAAAGGATTGATCTTTAGCGTTAGAAAACTCTGGAGTTATGTGTTATCAGATAGCACGTATCGATCAGTACAGGCTCGGCAAAATCGTGCTTTTTTTTACTACTATAGGAATATTCGCGACGCGTTTCGCTCTGGACGTTTCTCGATCGTGTAATTTTACTCTTTCTCGTTTCGCATCTGTGTCCGGTCGCGGATATGAAAGCGCGCAAAGTGAACAGGGCGAAAGCGTGGTTGATCTGTTGTGAAAAATCGCAAACCGTTGATTCTGACTCGAGCGATCGAGAAAGCGAGGAGCACAAAGCGCGGAGTAAAGCGGAGAAGCGGGTGGCCGACAAGGTAGAGAATAAAGCGGGGAACAAAACGGAGGGCGATGTGGAGACTAGGGTGGAGTGCGAAGTGGAAAATCCGATAGATAAGACGGGGGATAAAGTGGGAGGCGAAACGCATGGTGATGTCGAGAATAAAGTGGAGAACCAGATAGACAAGACCGAGAATATGCCGGCGACCAAAATGGAGGGCAATGTCGAGAATAAGGCGGAGAACAAGGTGGAAAACCAGGTGAACAGCGAGATAGACAGTAAAACGGAGAACGAGATGAGCGGTGTTGAAAATGAAGTGGAGAACAAGGTAGAAAATCAGACGGACAAGACGGAGAAATTGGAGGTCAAAACGGAGGCCGATGTCGAAAATAAGAACAAAGTGGAGGACCAGGTAGAT